TTTTTATTATTATTTTCTTTTTTAATGTTTAACAATATTATTTGCATAAAAACATATAATAATATTCTGTTTGTATATAACATTTTATATATATGTATATATATATATATATATATATATATATATAAAATAAAATTATAACATTATCTATAATGTATAATCTTTACAATATAAATTTTATATATTTATATAAAATTACTTTCCTTTTTTGTTATTAACTTTATTAATTAATTTAATTAATTAAAATTTTCAGTTAATTATTTTTAAAAATTAAACAAATTAATTAAACTTATTACAAATTAATTAAACTTAATTAATTTGTTATTAAAATGATTTTTAATCCAAGTTGTAATTTACCAAGTTTTTGTTGTCACTCTTAATGCAACATAGAACACTTCATAATTTTTTCACAATTTTTCCATTCCTTTCGAGATATGACACACAACTCTAAACTATTTCTATAAGATGCTAATATATTAGAAATTATTGAATTGTAAAGGCTAAACTGTTCAAAAGAGCCGAGTGACAATCGCGTTCTTTTGTTACGCAAGGCACGTTGTGTAACAACGCGACGAAGTTTAATACGTTAAACGTGTATAAATAACGCTAACGTGTGTAAATGCAACTCTCTATTGCCAAACGTACATACAGCTGTGCGTAGATTCAAACGATGTATTTTGTTGCAAGCTGTGCTAAGATCACGAAAATTACACGTTTCTTTTACCACCTCCAGATTCTATCTTCAGATTCTATCTTTCCGAAAAAAAACTATTTTTTCGTACCTACATGTAGATTTATTCTTCTATTGCTATCACTTATTTATATTTTCACCAAAAAATATTTGAAATTTTTGTTAAGTTATCTAACGTTTTAAGCGAAGTTACCTCTCTCTTTTTTTTTTTGTTTTTAAAGATGCACAAGAAAAAATTGGAAAATAAATATATACATGGTGTTAAAAATTAGATAGACAAACTTTGAATATTAATTTTAATATAAATTTAATTTTAATATTACTTTTCTTTTTACAACGTTTAATTTTAATTACATGATATCGCATATATGCGAGTTTGTGACTTTTCAGTTTGTATTAAAGTTAATAAGAAATTTTTTAACAGTTACTGTAAGAAGAGTGAATTATTTTTATTCCGTGTTTTGTTTATTGTAAGATTAAAATATAATTTAATTTTTGCACTTATATGTTTATTATTTAATCAATAATCCACAAAACTTAACATCACCAGTAGTTAAATTACAAAATTACAAATTTTTAAAATTTTATTATTTATTAAGTCACAAACTCCTATTTTCATAAAAACGTCATAGAAAAAAATAGTATTAACAAAAAATGTTTATCTTCAAATCTTCTATTTTCCTTCAAAATTTGTCTAATTTTTTAACACCCTGTACATTCTACAATTTTTTTCGACTCAAATTTTCGAAAAAATTGTTTATTGTTTAAGTCACAAACTCCTATTTTTATAAAAATATCATAGAGAAAAATAATATTAACAAAAAATATTTATTTTGAAATCTTCTTCTTTTCTTCAAAATTTATCTGTAATTTTTTTTTAACATCCTGTATATTCTACAATTTGTTTCGACTCAAATTGTCGAAAATTTCTCAAAATATAAATATTTCACATTTTGAGACAAACATAGGTGAATAATTCGTTATTCTTCTTTACACGGGGCCAGGATAAAAGAAAAGACTTAAAGGGGAGATGACGAAGAGAACTATTCGCAACACATACACACTGACGATACAACAATTCGCTTTACGTAATGAGGCATACTTTTCTCTTTCTCTCTCCTTCTCCCTCTCCCTCTTTTTCTTTCTTTCTACTGCATCGCTGTACATATAACCGAATCACCTGTTCCGCATTGTCAGCGCACCAATTAGCATACCTCGTGTCGCGAAGATCGTTTCTCGAATGTTATTGATCACCCGGTATCTTCTACTGACTTGAACGGCCACTTTTCGGTAAATATTGAGATGAGGAATATGTATGAGAAACGAGATAGAGGCATATACTTAAAAAAAAAAAATCGAATCAAGATGGACAACTTTTGGAGACAACTTTCTACATAAAGTTCCCAGCTAGTAAAACATATACGTCATCCCAAGTAGAACAGAAAATCAAAATAATATCATTTTGACGTCATTGATCAAATTTAGAGTTCAAATTTGATCAATGATATTAAAATAATATTATGTCAAAATGATATTATTTTGATTTTCTGTTCTACTTGGAATTTTGATGTTGAATAATCATATATTCAATCGAATTATAAATATTCCTTAATTATGAAAGATGCATTTGGTGACGTCGGAATCGTATTACAAAAATTATAAGCGTTAAAATATATTAAGCGAATCATCTGACAAATTCAAGCTGTAAATCTTTAGCAACTCAAGTAGCAAACTGACGTCATTAAATGTTAAAATGACATTTGATGATGTCATCGACGTCAATATGATGTCATTTTGACGTTTAATGACGTCAGTTTGCTACTTGGGTTGCTAAAGATTTACAGCTTGAACTTGCTACACAATTCGACATTTCAGACGTTTAATAACGTCATGACGTCATTTTGACGTTTAATGACGTCAGTTTGCTACTTGGTTTGCTACCCAAGTAGAACAGAAAATCAAAATGATATTATTTTGATTTTCTGTTCTACTTGGGTAAAGATTTACAGCTTGAACTTGTTAAACGATTCGACGTTTAATGACGTCATTTTGACGTTTAATAACGTCAAAATGACGTCACTTTCACGTCTAATGACGTCACTCAACGTCAAAATTACGTACGCTTGCTACCTGGGTAAAGATTTACAGCTCAAACTTACCAGAAGATTCGCTTAGTATATTTTACCGCTTACAATTTTTGTGATACGGTTTTAACGTCACAAGATACATCTTCGTAATTAAGGGACTCAGAAAATATATATACATATACAGAAAAAAATATATACCTATATACATATACACACTTGGAAGGGTCGGGATGTGCTACTTCTCCTCGACAAGAACCGAGATCGATATAGGGGTGGCCTACCCTCGATATGTCCCGTTGAAACTCGGGAGGGTCCAGAAACAGAACGCAATTTCTCAGACCTATTCACGAACAGCGATAAAACCGCCCTTTCGCGTGGGATATTGAAGTTAAGGGGTGTTCAGAAAACCTCTGCTATATCAGTATATTTCTGCGGCAACGTTCACGATAATATCAGAAATTCGGTTCTTCCTTTATTAGATAGTATAATAAAAGGAAGGGAAAGAAAGGGCCGCTTTTTGTTTCTTCAACCATTCCGATAATAATCAAGTGATCCTGATTATTATTATTATTGCTGTCTTCGAGTGATGAGATATTAAAGTAGGTCTGTCAGTGTCATTAATTTTTGATAATTTATCGATATTTTAATTCCATTATGACGTCATATATTCATATTTATTCGGTTCTTATTAAAAGAGAGAAAGTAAAATTCGAATTCGATCTGTATCTTGCGAAAGCATCGGGATTGTTTTTTTTTTAATCTCGCGACAACCAAATCTGAAAATATCACGACGAGAATAACCGGAGAAAAAGTGAAGAGATCCTATCGAGACGATCGTCGGCAACTATTTTAGAACGGCATTATATATACAGGGTGTCTGATAATAATGTAGAATAGGTTTAAATCACTCTATCCTGCACACGAGATGCGATTATTAATGGATACCTTGCATATGAAAAAATGCGATTCGTCCATCGCGATTTAAATTTCGCGCGCAAACACAGCATCGCAAACGTAAATGAAAACCGTGTTTACAGCAACATGTTAATGTTTATTTATTAATATTTTATTTATATCTTACTTTAACTTTACATTCTGAAAATTTGAGATTTCTCTTTTTTAAGTACACATATATTTATTTAACCGTGAAAAGTAAGAGTAAAATACCCAAGATAGTAAACGTACGTCATTTTGACGTTGACGACGTCATTAGACGTCAATGTGACGTCATTTTGACGTATAATAACGTCAATTTGCTACTTGGGGTAACTCCAGTATATCTTTAGATAGAAGATAACATAACTTTTGTGCAATATGAGGCATAAAATGAATTAGATTAGATATATATATATATATATATATATATATATATATATTGCAGAAAATTTAATAGCAACAAACAAACAGAGGAAATAAAAACTGTGCAAACATCCGTTATAATGGATGAAAAGATCTTCAGTAACTGATGGGATAAAAATGAATATTTAAGTTGGAATTAAGATTCGTTTCGCGATCTAAAAAAGAGAAAAGAAATAAAGAAATGAAGAGGAAAGGAAAAAGACAGAAGGAAAAAGATAATAAGAGAATAAATAAGGTTGACGTAAGAGAACACGTTACAAATTCCAAAATAGGATGAACAGTGTTTGCTGTTATCTAAATAAAATTATATAGATGATCATCTAGATGAAGTTTTGGCGTCATCTTATCTTTATATAAATAATAAAAATATGTATTATCTATATCTATATCTTAGATGAAAAAAGTGTTACTATTATTAAATTATCTTGAATAATGTTCAGGTATATATATAATTTGATTTAGTCATATAGCATACAAAAATTCTTAAATATTATTAAGTAGCAGAACTTTAACAGTAAGCAATAGAAACTTACAAATAACAATACAAATATATTTTTATATCTCTTTTATAATTTATATTTTTTTATAACTGTGTTTACATAAGCAGTCTTAAAAATAATATTAATCTAGACGTTATATACATATATCTAGATGAATCGCCATATATAATTCTATTTTTTATCTATAGATGTATTTAATAAAACAAAATCATCTTTATCTTATCTAATTGTAAGATAAATTTACATATTTTCATGTCTCATCTTTATATCTAGCTATAATTTTAAAATCATCTAAAAGAATAATACTGAGGATAAAGGAAAAACAATCGGGGTCGAATAATAAAAAAAATACCGCGTACTCACTCTCGGAAAGTGCGGGAAAGGCCGATCGAAGGAGTCGCCTCTGGTAGTGCGCCTACTGGATGGCAAAAACGCGTCCTCGTCGTCCTCGTTAAACCTCTGCTTGACTTCCCGCAGCAGTTCGTCTTCGGACATGCCGCGGAGCCGGTCTGCGAATCTCGGTGAGTCGCGAAAATAATACGACATATTGTCGTTCGAGGTAATTTCTCAACACAACACGAAGGGATCAATTCACTTTCTCTTTCTCTCTCAGATAAGAAGAAACATTCAAACATATACCCTTCTCTCACGAAGGTTCGCGCGTTACTGAACGCGCGCTAGCTGCGCCGCGCAGCGTCGAGTGAAAGAGCGCGCATGCGCGCGAGTAGCGTTCAAAAAAACACGCGTGCACACGACGTTCGAAAGAATGCGCACGCGCTTTCTATTCGTTAGTGCGAGATTATTTGAAAATTTACTACAGAGGAGCATATATTCGATTGGCCGATCAGAATAGTCTTTAAGGTGATCTTAAACGTCTTTGAGAAGTCTGTTGTTTTTTTATCAACAAAATATGAGGCTAGATAAACTATGAATTCTTAAGAATTCCTAATTCTGTAACTAACAATAAGATAATGAGACTACACAGATTGATAAATCTTTTTCCTTTACAAATTAAAATAATAATATTAACAAAGGAGGAAGCAATCTAATTTCAGGTATAAAATCTGTATAGCCAATAAATAGATTTATAGTTTACCTAATCTCATATTTTGTCGATAAAATAGGAAAAAACAGACTTCTCAAGGACGTTTAGGATCCCCTTAACTTATAGGAAAAATCTCCATATTATCCATTTCAATTCAATTCCATCTAAGCAAAGCAAATGATAAACAATTGAAATGGAAAATGTGTTACATTGGTTATTTGTTCTTATAAATGTCATCTTTTAATTGTAATTCAAAAAGGTATTTTCGGACACGTGCATGACATGCTTTTTCTTATTTGTGTCGAGAACTCAATTCCAAAGTTTATACAAGTATTTCTAAATCACCCTGTATGCATAAATAAATATTTTGTTTTCCTAAAGAACTCAATGAATAAATATAATTTTACTTCTTCATTCTATACAGTGTCCGGTAACGGACCAATTAAGGGATTAAGGGCGGATTCTCTGGCCAATTTGGAGACGATTTTTTTTTAGCAAAAATGTTGAGAAGTCAATAATTTTCGAGTTATAGGCGATTGAAAAAAATGGGTTTTTTTGAAAACTAAACGTTTTGGAGTTAAAAGTCTAACATAATTACATTCTTCAGTTAATTTCAGGTAGAGTTTACTATAATAAAATTTTAATTTGAGGCTTAGTTATAAAGATACATGACAAATATTGGAAAGTTGTAAAAAATGATGACCTTTTTCGACATTTTCGCTGAGGAAAAATCGTTTCTAAATTGACCAAAGAATCCATTTGTAATCGTTGGTCCGTTAGTTACCGGACACCCTGTATATGATTGCATAATTACACAATTGTGAAACAAGAGCATAGCATTACGAAAGAAAAAGTAACGATTATAAAAGCAAATTCAAGTCTCTCAATGTTTAATAATGTAATGTACCAATAATGAAGAATAAAATTTCAAATTATTTTAAAATCTTTTTTATTTCAGAAAAGTCTTCACGATTGTATACATTAGATAATGTACTTTAATCGAACAATCCAAAGCCCATGTCATCATCTTCCGATTCAGATTCCTCCTTCTTTTCTTCCTTCTTCTCCGCAGCAGCAACATCAGCAGCTGCAGCAGCTGGAGTTGCTACAGCAGTGGCAGCAGCAGCAAACTTGCTTGGATCCTATAAAAAATTCCAGTGCTCTTAAGAGATGCAACCAAGTAGTATATAAGAAAAATATTATATTATATATTATGTTCAGACTGCGTGTTTTCACGCGATAATTCAACTGCGATCTTGACGCATCAGTGGGTTCAGCTATTTCTAGCTCTGACACGTGGACCAAGATCTTCAGACGTGTAATGCTTTCATCATAACTTTTTGCTCATAGTTGAAAAATAAAAAAATGACAAGATATAATGCGTGCATATACAAAATAACACCTTGATGTACTCCTTGATAGTAGCAGCTTCTGCGAATTCAACGTCGGTAACAGCAGCAATAGCCAAGAGATTTTTGAAGCCGTTGGCGATGCTGTGCGGCGCGCTGGCAACCGTGGGATAACCGATTGACAAACAAACCGAAGCCAAATTTGCAACTCCGGCCATGAATTTCTCACGGAGATCTTCAGGCTTGATGTCTAGAATCTCAGGCGCGAAAATGGTACCAGAATCATACACTTGTTCTACCAGCAATCCATAAGAAAATGGAGAAATGTTCAACATGTTCAAGAGAGTGGCTTCGGAAGCTCCCACTTTGTCACCAGGTTTGAGGATGTGTACGTCATTCTGAAATATTGATATTCACATTGTGAGTTACATCAGCGAGACTCATGAGACAATTAATGGAATATTTCTCAATTAATTAATACTTACTATAATTTCAATAGTACCCTTGGAAATCTTGGTCGGAATACTTAAAGCTTGGAAGAAGGAGGTCTTCTCAGGACCGAGTCCTGTGTTTTGGGCAGGAATAATGACGCTCAAGGGCGCGATGGCTCCCGCCCTGGCAGGAGCGCGCACTTTATTCTCCAGCAATTTGTCCCTCACTTCGATCAGGTCCCCTCGAGTGAAGACAAATCCAACATTACCACGAATATGAGGTAATAGTTTCTCTAGTGCCGCGTTACGTTCTATATGACCGCGAATTGCCTTTCTCATCATGGTGTTTTTACCCATCAGTACCACTGCGTTGCCACGCAGTGACATACGGATTTGCTGCATCTGCTTCGAGCCGACATTGTCCGCGCCCACTATGAAGCATTTCGGATAATCGTCTAGTAGTTGCTGAAATATGAAGAAAAATTATTATAATTATTATGCTTTATGTACATTTATATTTCCTACTATTAATGCATTTGAAAATCATCTCATATCAAGTGTTTTGCTTAGATGATTTTAAAATTAACTAGATAAAGATGAGATAAAAATGTAAATTTATTTTAGATAAGATAAAGATAATTTAAAAAAATATATCAAGATAGAAGATAAAATTATATAGTGATTCATCTAGATAATAATTTGTAAGACTGTTTTTTTTGTGTAAACACAATTATAAAAAAAATGTAAATATAAAAGGGATATAAAAATATGTATCATATCCATATTTTTATGTGCTATGATTCTAAACCAAAAATTACCTGAAAATTATTCTAGATAATGCAGTAAAGATAAGATAACACCAAAGTTTTATCTAGATGATTATCTATATAATTTTATTTAGATAACAGCAAACACTGCTCGTAACTATACATTTACTATGTTAAAACATACTGTGAAATGGATGTACAAGATTAAAATAATAAAATTATATATAAATATAATAAATGCTTAGAAAAAAAGTACTTACTACGAGTTTAGTGAAGTAATTTGATTTCCAGCTTGCTTTGTCCTCCCTACCCATCGTGAGTGCACAGGGATACCTTGCGGAATTTAAGGACTGAAAAATATTTAAAAAATAAAAATTAAGATATCAATATGTAGCAATAAAATTAGTAGTAATAAACCCATCGTGAAACATGCACAGTGATACCTTGTGCAATTTAGGGATTAAAAATCATTTAAAAAAATAAAAATTAAGAATGTATCAACATATAGCGACAAAGTTTAATGACAAAATAATAAATTCATGTATAAAATATGAATGTTCCACAAATAAGAGATGTTTCTGGGGGGAGGGAGAAGCGGCGTCTCGAATTTTTAGGATGCATTTTTTCATCACTTTAGTATATATTTAAACAAATGCGACACAGAGATATCTAAAAATCTCTCTAAATTCAATATATATATATAATATATAGTAAAAAACAAACGAATATTTAATCATCATGAAAACCACATGGTTTCATTAACCTCTCATTCTCATACATTTTATTTGAATATTTATTTAGCATATTATTTTCGTGGTTATTTTTATACTTAATGATAAAACGTATACGCAGTATATCTCTGGTGATTTTAAGATAGGATACGAAATGTATGAATTTAACAATATGTTGCAAAAATGACGCGCGTTCACTCAACATACCTCAGCAACGTAGAACACCGTGATGAAGAAGGAAACGGAAGTCTCGAGGTAGACATGTGGCCAAACTCGCTCAGAGGACGCGTCGAGCGTCTTCTACTATCCGAGCTGAAAACGTCAGATTTGATTTGTGATCTCGAACAGCTGATTGCGCTTCAAACTTGACGCTTCAAGCTGTACTTATATTTCCCTTGTTATTATTATTAATTAAAATATATTAATATTGCTAGTTAATTACTCAAAGGATCAGTTTCTAAATTCATTATTTGTTTATTAATTAGAAATACAACGTTTTGATCATATGGTTGTGGTCCTTTTCAAATATAAACGGAAAAAAAATGATACATAATTTGTTATTATTTTATTATTATTATTCACCTTGTGCCTGATCTTTCAAATTTAATCTTAATTTGAAATTGTAATGAAATTGTTTCTGCATGTAGAATTTGTTCTAATTACTATAATTTAAATTAGAGTTTATATAGACACAATACTGTTAGATCTTCTTCCTGTGAACATGGTGCTTCCCTTTGAGATATAAATTATATTCTTTTTTGGAGTTTTTTACTCCCCATCATCTCTGAGATCTATCGAGTGTCATCTAAAAAGTCCTAAATTTTCAATCTCCTAAAGAAACTATTTTCTTGTATTGCAACTCCTATAATTTCATTTCTTCGCAACATGACATAATTCTTATTGCTGGAACTATTTTACTGATGGTAGTTTTTTTACTCAATGTGCAAGAAGGAGAAGCTTGTAATTTCTCCTCCGAAAACCAGTTTACATCAAGTTTTTTTATACTGCATGTTAAAAAAAAGGTTTCATATTTTGAGAGCAGGTAGTATTGATTGAAATAAGAAAAAAAGTGTCAAATAAACATTGCTCTTACAATTAATATGTTCAAAGATACAGGACAAGATTTCTATTTGAACTTATGCTTTTCTTATTGATCGTATTACTTTTATACTGTAGTAAACAAAACAATACTTATTAATTTTAAAGAACTAGAACTAGAATTAGATCTTCTGTAGAGATCAGAGAGATGCGATAGAATAAAAAATTTATAAAAGTAATAATTTGTGTTGGAAACTTAAAATTGAATTATGAGATACAAATATAAATAAAGTATTAAAATATTACATATATAATATATATTGAAAGTATATATAATTATTGATTTTAATATTAATAAAAAAAAAATGTACAAATAAAGTAAATATATATAATATTCATATAATAAATAAATAACTACTACAATTTTTTTCAGGAACATAATTGGACAAATGGAACAATGTGATTTATTATTTTTATCTGTCAATATTTCAATATCAATTTGTAAGTAAAATTTAGATATTTGTAAAGTTATAAAATTGCTTTTTAATTAGATTGTTTACTATTATTAGGCTTATGACTCATTTTATTGCATTCTCTCATATGTGCAAATTATTTGATATAATAATTTTTTTCAGATTTACAAGTCTCTGAATAGCATGTATAAATCAGAGTATGCTATATCCCAAGGAATTCAGAACATGTGCTATAATGAGCGAAGAGTGTCCAAATTGTGGACAGCTTACAAACGCATCTGCCTCAAGACTTGTGAAGGATAGTTGCGGTCACAGCAAATGTCGCATGTGCTTGTTATATGAGGAGCATGGTTGTAAAATTTGCCAAGCTAAACATCATGTTCAAGGCATTTAAAATTACTTATACAGGGTGTCCTGCAAGGTGATGGCCATACTGAAACTGTGTATTCTCGATGTCATTCTAAGTCGAAAAGTTAAAACACATAGACCCTAAAGTCGATTGTTTTAAAGTTACAGCAAAAAACAAAATTGCATAAAATAAGAATAGTATTATATATTGAAGATAATAATATTATTTATTGAACAATAATGTTAAATAATAATTAACTACTTTATAAATTGTGCGATAAGGTAAGTCATAAAGGTGCTTTCAATATGGACATCACGTTGCAGGACACCCTGTATATAAGTTTTTCTGGAATTTTACCAATGTCAGATCTTTAAATTTGAATTTATATTTTTTATTCATTTTTTTTTTATATTCTATAATAAGTTTGATATATATTGCAGAAGAACTATGTTCCGTGAACAGGGATTCGAATGATACACACAAATCGTCTAGCGAGGAGATTGTATTGCCACTAGAACTTGTTATTAACAAGGATTCCAAATCCAAGAAGAGCCAGGACTCCACTTCTGTTGAATGCACATCATCAAATCTTCATTATGATAATGTCACTCTCGAAAAAGAAGGAGTCTACAAGTTTGCTCCAAATGATACAATTGCCAATAACGATTCCAACAAGCTATACATTTATGGAAATGATCACAATTCTGCAAATCTGCAAACTCCTCGAGTAAGAAAACAGATTTTAATGCAATTTATATATTTAAGTATATTAAGAAAATTGTATATTTTACAATGCTCAGTTTTATTATTTTATTATTTTATTACATTGATTTTATTATATTATTATATATTGATATTTTATGATATTGATTTAATAAGAAATGTTTTAAAAATTATTACTCTCTTAAATTTCATTATTATATATAAGAAATTAAAAATCAAGATTGAGGAATAATTGTGGATAAAAGTTTGTTACGCTAACTGATTGAAGTATTTCTTTTGTTTTTTCAGTGCAAACAGGCGGAAGAAAAGCTCGATGAAGAGAAGAATGTGGAGAAGAATAAAAATGTCAAGCGCGATCGCAGTCATATAACAATAGTGCCGGGCAACCCGGAAAAATATAAGTGTAATGTATGCAGTAAGGTCTTTCATAATAAGAAGAGCAAGTGCTATCATGACGCATGTGTGACAGGCGTCAAGCCATACCAATGTATCTTTTGTGATAAGAGCTTTGTAAAGCGTTCTCACTTTGAATATCATGAAAGGGTTCATAAAGGATACAAACCACACAAGTGTAATCAATGTGGAAAAGCTTTCCCTCAGCGGAACAAACTCAACAGGCACATGCTTTCCCACAGTATGTGTAGTAGAAGTACTTTAAACTTCTAACTTTACTTTTACTCTCTCTCACAGTAATATGTATATTAATATTTAATAATTAAAATAAATAATAATTAGTGTAGGTAATTTATTATAGTTATATAAGCTTCTTTTAAAGAATTATAGGAAAATGATATTCTGTATACACATTTGTGTGATTATAACTTAAATATTTTAGAGGAGAAGCAGTTTAAATGTTCTGAATGCAACAAACGATATAGCAAACGAGATGATTTAAGGAACCATTTAAATGTGCACAACGCGACATCGACGTATAACTGCAAGTCCTGTGATAAATCCTTCCGCGTATTAACTAATTTGAAACGTCACATGCGAACGCATATAAGTAAGCGGAAAAAATCTTGTTTTTTGCAGAATTATATTTTATTTCTCTAAATTTTAGTAGAAAATACGATAAAAAGTTCGATTTTCTAAAGAATTTGCATATGAGAAGAATAACAAGTAGATGATTATTATTATAGGTGAACGACCGTATACGTGCGATGAGTGTAACAAGAGTTTCAAGGACCGATTTCTGCTGAAACGACACAAACGGACTCACGAGAAGGACAGGCCGTTCTCTTGCGCCCATTGTAACAAAGTTTTTCTATCCAAGAGCGAATTGAGACGACACTTAACCGTGCATTCAGGTGCGTTAAGTATTATGTGAAATTAACGATGGGATCAAGTTCACTATCTTAAGTAGCAAATTGACGTCATTAAACATCAAAATGACGTCACTTTGACGTCTAATGACATTATTTTGACGTCGAATGACGTCACTTTAACAATTTATAGAATTTCAAATATTTGTGACAACCCACGTAGCAAACTGACGTCATTAAACGTCAAAATGATACCATTTTGACATCTATAACGTCATTAAACGTTAAAATGACGTATGCTTGCTACTTGGGTTGTACTTAAGGCTCCTGAGTCCTCACGACAGCCATGTCAGATTGTGACATCAGAGGCGAGAAAGTATGTACTTCTTCCAGACGAGAAGCCGTTTTCTTGCGAGTACTGCCAGACGCCATTCAGACGGAAGGACAACCTGAATCGACACATCAGGCACCATCATACCGAAGATTTTAGCTCTGAGATTCGCGAAACGCCACGCGTCGAAGCGGACTCAGCGCGAAGTAGCTCGACGAAGAGCAGTCAGCAACGACCGAGACCGAAACAGTCTAGGAAAGCGCAGCCGAAGAGTCCCGGAAAGGTCACCGCGTCCCTTCCGAGTTCCCACGTTGATCAGATCAACTCCCGGCTGGATTCCATGGGCAACATCACGCCTGTAATAAGGACCACGAGTGAGATGAGCAACGCGGTGCCGGTGATCAACGGACCCATCAACATCAGACGATTCGAGGACAGGACTGATAAGAAGACATTCACGTATACGGAGCCAATTCCGATTGCCGAGGCGGCGGTAATTAACTGTCGTATCGAGGAGAAGTTGTATCCGCAGAGCGCCAGCAGTCACAATTATTTTGTACGGAGTTGCCTCAAGGATAGGTACTCCAGGGTGAACTCTTATCCAAACAATAAGCTCACGTTGCAAGAGAACCATAGTTCTTCCGCAGCTTCCACATCTTCGCGAATTGAGCCTACTCTTTATCCCAGAGGGATAGAAGAGCGAAAAGATTTCGCGGCGAACTTCCAGAAAGAGAAGATTGTCAGCTATGACGAGAAGGAGAAAGGTAATCGCGTCGAGGACAAGACTGTGAGAAGAAGAGATGAAAAGAGTCGCGAAGGTGGTGATGTAGTTTCTCTTCGAGAATCTAATTGTGTCTCCACGATCAAGAAACATACCACCCAGCAAGTGGCAGAGGGACACTTGAATGAGAATTCCACGGCGAACGGTGATGATTCGGAGGTGACGATATTACCGAAGAATTCTCAGGACAGTTGCAGGAAGAAGCAGAGCGACATACACTGGAGACGTAGAATCGCGGAGACCCTGAAGCTTGTTGATCGGCGTTTAGCGAGGAAATTGAGTAAAATATGCGAAATACTTATCGCAATAGTGATAACAAGCGTGTTACTTTTTAGCAAGATTGTTTTATCAAAATTTAATAAAAAATAACGTTCAAGTTTTAATATATGTATACAAGAAGAGTATGTAAATGTAAGGTATATAAGAAATCTATACAAGAAAAATATGTTTATAGCTAACTTAATTATATATTTTAAAAATAATTATTTGTCTTTTACGTTAATTAATTTTTTTCATAACTTTGTGCATAAAAAGTATTAAGACAAGATTATCGAAAAATAAATATTTTATGAGATATGAAATATCTCGTAAACTATTCACTCTATTGTCATTTTAGCCTTATAATTTTATGCCAAATATTGTAAGGGATCGATTTATATAAAAAATTATAGTAATTAAAAAAAAAAATAAAGTTCTATTGATTTTGAAATAATCTTCTGGATTTTAATTCAAGACTAAATAAAAATCAGATGACTCCTCAATGCCAAACAACTTTTGTTTGAAACATTTTGTTTTAAACTCGAGAGTTTCGAAATATAATGGATTGATTAAAATGATTTACCCTGTATATATATTGTGCGTGACTTAAATTGTATTAATAAAAATCTATGTCCAGTTTGGGCCTCGAGTGAACAGTCATGAAATACATTAATCGATAAGATTTTTCTTGAAATGATTTGGATAGAAATTGATTATTGAGGGCACATATGCACAATTATCTAAAATCATGAATACGATTAAAAATAACGCAACAACAATTTATTGGCCATTCTCTTGCTTATCAATTCTTAAAGTCAATTACGCACTACGAATACAAACTTAGCGTATTGTTTAATTATCACTGATTGTTTTTATTTACAATAATTAAATTACCTTTGCAATAATAATTGCTCCGCAGATTAAATTGTCTTCGCGTTAGCCTTAAGTAAAATATATCAATTAATTGGAAAGAAATAAAGCGTGCTAATTATCATGAATTTAATAACTTTAAATAAATTTTTACGCGTTTTTAAATTTCGCAATCTCATTTCTCCTCCATTTGTGTTTTTACAAATACAACGATATAAAAAAATCGCTGATATAAATTAATGTAAAAGTCTCTTGAATTTCATGATTTTAATCGATCTCATATAAAAAAAAATTTAAAGGAATATTTAAAGATGAATTGAGAGAATATTAATTATTATGAATACGGGAGAATCGTGAAAAATGAAAAAAAATTCGAATGAACGCAGTGAATTCGTAGAGAGCTAAAGATTTCTAAGAATCTACTCGTATTCCTCCTCCTCTTCGGGCGGAACTGGGGATATCGTCTAAGGACTTGATGCTGTTGGGGCTGTGGTCGCCTGTGCTGAAGGGAATGTTGACTTCTTCGGGACTGTGGAATACCTGGTTCACCGGGAGACGGAACTGCGGGAGTCCTGTGGGCTGCGGACGAGCCGACGTGGGAATGCTATTCAAACTTTGAGGCTGCGGACTCACAAGGACCTGTACAAGACCTAAATTGTTAACGTGTCAATGTATGGCCAATTGTAAGAGGGCCTTACAACTTTTAATTTACGTTGGATTCTACCCCATACAGCACACAAGTTTGCAGCAATATTGCAACAACATTGCAATATTGCAATAACATTGCAATATTGCTGCAAACTTGTGTGCTGTATGGGACCCAAGAAGAATAGAAAGTCCGACAAATCAAATTTGGACTCAAAATCCGATCAAATTTGGAGTCCAAATGTAACTAATAGCACACATATCCTGAAGATGTTCAGAGAACATCCTGAGAATGTTCGAATGTCTTTGAATATTTTCTGAATATCTCTGAATATTTTTCTGATATGATGTGATATTAGGATTAGTTGATATATGACGTCAAATCGATATTATTTTGACTTTTCGATTTTACTTGAATAAATACGAATAGAATGATTTTAAATACGCGTTGGAATGATCATTCAATGATGATGATTAATACCTGCGAGGCAGGACGACGTGTTGGAGCAGCTGTAGGAGTAATTTGATAGTCACCGACCTCCCTTTCGTCCGCGTAGATATCAGAGGGATAATACCTTTCGCTGTACCTCAAGGTGACATTGGGCTTGGTCTCGGCTTCTTGGAGATTCAGCGGTTTGTAGAGATATTCATTGACAAAATGATATTGCGAGCTTTTCTTACAACTGATATCGCCGCTGGGTGGCATGCAGATTAAATGCACCTGAAGTATAATTACACATGTGCGTTTTAGTTTCATAGAAAACATAATTAAACGCAATTAAGCATATCAAATGTTCAAGATTAAGATATATATAAGCATTTGAATATTTATAGCCACTTTGCATAACGACCTGTAATGATATATTTGTCTGTGTTATTATTTCTAAAACGATAAACTATAAAAAACATATAATAACAACTTGATAGAGCAAATTATCTCTATAACTTCTTATTACTTGAAGTATCTAGGATTCGATCTACTGTAATTTTATCGTAATCACAAAATGATTTTCTGCACTTTTTCACTAACCTGATGGAAAGTGAAACCCTCTGGACAGATCCAAGAGTGCTTGGCATTGTCCTGGCAATAATGAAAGACCTCGCAGTTGAGGTCTTCGTCGGCGTAGTAACCAGTTTGTTTGTTCACGCAATCGAATCTGCTCTGGGGCAGAAGAAGGCTGAGACGATCGGGTTCCTCCTTCTCCTCCTCGAGTTCCTCTTGCGTAGGTGCGTTGGGTCCATATTGACCTCGAGCAGGAGCACGTGACGAAGAACCGATACGGATGGCCGATTGAGAATAATCGCGAGAGTCTATTGGTGTTGCCGTTGGCTTGCGATATAACTGTAGACGATAACAATAAATAGTAATATGAATGGTTAACCATTCATGATATCATTAAGAAACTGTAATAATAATTATTATTACAGTTTCTTAATGACATCTAAAGGTCTATTCCCTAATAGTAAAATATATCCGAAAGATATTCAGACAATATTCAGAGGATATCCAGAGGACATTCGAACGTCCTCAGGATATGTTTCTGAACGTTTTCGGAATATATGTGCTGTTAGGGTTATATTTCCTTACTCTTGTAGTTAACTGTTAGATCTAGCAGAGATATTTTGATCTAGTGCAGATGTTTGGATCTAGTACATGTGTTTAGAGCTTTCCGGGAAAAAATTATATAAAAATATATAAAATTGTGCATATAATCGCAAAATTATATATAAAATATACATAATTAGATAAAAGTGCTTTCTATATATGTATATAATTATATTTTATATTTATAATATATAATAAATAAGTATTTCTTCATATATATAAATATATATATATATATATATATATATATATATATATGTTTCATATATATAATTAGACATAATTATACATAAACCTTTATAATTTATAAGTTATATATAAATTTATATAATTATGTATAAAATAAACATATTTTATATATAATTTTACGATATTTTATATGTATAATTACACAATTATTTATATATAATTATACATAAAAAATTTTTTAATACTAGGTTTATTAGATCCAGTACTTTTGCTAAGATCCTAATGATTTAGGAACATTTGTCTCTAAATTCTGTATTCTTTATTCTGTATTCTGTATTCTTTAGACATTAGGACAGATGTTTGGATCTAGCACTACTGATATTTGGATTTTAGCACCAGGCTTATTAGATCCAGCACTTTTGCTATAAGATCCTGATGATTTAAGAACATTATTTGTCTCTAAGTTCTGTATCCTTTAGAAATTAAGACAGTGGTATACTGTCCTTTTCAACTGCGGAAGATATATATAAGTAAATAGTCTTAGAACTGACCGGCTGCTGATTCCTGTAGATCGGCGTCGGCGCAGGTGTAGGTGTTACCGCGTTGTCCTCGTAACTGTTATCACGGAATCCTTGTGCTGCGCTTAAGCCAGGTGAATAAAGGGGTCCTAAGCTACTCGGTTTTCCGGGGAACGAAACCGCCCTCGTTTCCAGATCGTAAGAACTCTGCGCCGCTATGGCAGAGCCCAGTAATCCCAGGAACACCCAGTACATTCTGCAAAACAAATTAGATAAATAATGTGACGTGCACTTTTTTAATTTTTAACAATTTATTCCAAGTTATTTTCTGTAATTGTAATTGTAACCTGTTTCTACAAGAACTGATCAACTTAAAGATGATGATAGATTGGATCAAACTGAAGAGGAAAGTCCTGTATTTTTGCTTTTCAGTTTGACCCAATTTACCATAATCTTTTGATTGATCAGTTAATTACTAAACAAACGATTAAAATCAACTGAAGAGTAGGAATTAGAATAATCGAATTATTATAATGACATTTTGCATAAAATTTTTGCTTTCAATCTCGACTTTCTATTTTGTCGAAATGTAAACGTATATATAAGTACTTTTTCAGGGTATCGATGGTCAAGGGCACTTTCCCTCGCGTGCACACGTGCGTGCATATGAATTTAATGAGTGTCGATTTGCGAGAAAGTGCGGCTACGATTTCTCGACGAAATGCTCCTTTATTCCTGTAATGACACCGATATATACGATTACAGCCCGATCCTCGTTTCTCATTTTAACACCATATTGAAGGTCACTGACCGTGAGTTCTTCATCGTACATAACAATAAGAGTATAGTATATAGGGACGATTCGAAAGTTTGATGATCCAAATTGAAAAATCCTTGATTCTACAAGTTTTTACAGCGAAGACACCAAGAGCAAAATTAGATAGAGAAAATGTAAAAGTAAATGAAGTATAAAGAAATAGACGCATATAAAAAAGGAATAATTAAAAAGGGCATTCTGGGTTGCGATATATTCCTCTTGTGATGAAAATGACCTATTATATTGGGATTCCGGAAATAACATTCTTATTCCATATTCGGTGGTATATGGATAAGAATTTTGGATGCTTTTCGGTTTCATTTTATTGAAGATCTCTCGTTCTTTTTTATCGCAGCTCGATCGTTTAAAGCAATTAGAAACTGGCTTTCCAGATGCGTGTGTACCACATGCCATATCCGAGAATTATTATGGAAAGCACTCGTGCTCGTTGAGCACGTCATCGTCACGACCGAAATGACTTTAACCGATCGTGAAACCGCCGTCCGAGTTTTGCACACATATAGAAAGTAACACGCTTTCCTTACACCTGCTCTATTCAAAT